GAAAGCTACCGCGGTCCCTTTAGAAGGTCTGTATCTGGTTTCGGCACCCATCTAATTTTCCATAAACGTATCTAACTCATTTCATCAAAAATCAACCTGTATCCCCTAGACCCGGTTATATTAAAGAGCCATTTAAGATTTTTAAGAATGTGGATCGAATCAAGCGCCAAGGTGTAATCAATTACGCTCTGGAAAGGAGGTCAAGCGTGTTGCGTTGCGTGTCGCGGGTCCAGAGATAGAAAAATGTATCGGCCTGCATTGCCAGTCCCTTAAGCGGATGATGGAACGCTAGATAAAAAGTTAAAGTCTAAGGATTAAGGAAATAGGCTTCTACCATAATTGTCAAAAGTTAGGCTATGCAAAAAAACCGATGGCGAGTACGCGCTCCTGCGAGAGGGCATACAGCCACTTTCCGCAAAGACACATCTTGTCTCCTATGACAGCCGACCTAATCCCTTGAAAACAAGCTTGATGCGGTAAAAATTTGGACCAATCAATCCAAATAAGCCCTCCTATATGCAAAATTCGCAGGCGTTGCCTAGGCGTCGTGAGCTCAAAATGTATGCCGCATTTGTGGGGTGCGGCCAAACTGGGCGGGCCAGGGAGGACGGACCTTTGTGCCCCCATCGCACAGAGCCTCACAAACAACCGAGACACCGCCCAAGAAGCGAGGGCCCAGACAGCGCGACACTCCGCCAAAATCGATGTCGTTGCGGTCAGCCGGGTGGAATTTCTGCGGGCTTGAGAAAATAAACAACAGTGCACTCGAGCCACACGTGAAGCGTCAATAAGTTTACTTAACGAACTCGGCGGGTTTTGGGGAGTGATTGACTTTTGTTGTGGCTGGCGGGGATAAGCTCATGTTCGAGTGATGAACACTTGCACTGTAAAGCGAACGGTTTTAATCCTTAAATCTTGACAATATTTTTAATACAGATAAATCATGATAAAGCAAAGATATAAAGCTTTGGACCAAAAAGCAAAAAGTTCGGGCAAGGCAGGGCTCGAACCTTCCATTTTTTGAATGATAGTGACAAAAATCAAGGACCTTTTTCTAAGAAAAATAGAACATGATACAGGCAATCCTCCTACAAAGTTTCGGACCAAAAAGCAAAAGGTTTCGACCACGGAAGGATTCGAACCTTCAATCTTCTGCTCCGTAGGCAGACGCGTTATCCATTGCGCCACGCGGCCATGTCGGGTCGGCGTGGGAAGGGCACTGACCTGCCAGGGGAGCCCATATTTGGTTGACATATGTTTTCTCGAGTAGCCGCTTATCTTACTTTTTGGCGAGGAATGACAGTAAATCAGGAACAGATTTTTTGCAGCATATTATTTTTGGCCTCGAGTATCTTATCGCGCTTATGGTAATAATTTACATAGGTCCATTATATATTTACTTACTTTTAATAGTACTTGATTCCGTTAAAAAATTTCATAGCCCACAAAAAATACTGGAATCGGGAAAGCGTGTTGTCAAAAATCACTTCGTCCTCCCCTGTATTTTGGCGATAAATGGGAGATTTCCGAAGGGGTGCACCGCCCGCGTTGTCCTATTGTTGTCCTATGGAAACTACGGTATTCGTAGTGCGAGCATCGAACAAATAGTTGAAAAATAACATAGAGCTCGTATATCGACTTTAAACAAATGTCAAAGCCGCAATAAAAATTGATTCCGCTTGGGTAACACCGAAAACAATAACCATCGAGTGTAAATAAGAGCTTATTGTAGGCAGCTACCCCTGGCAATCCTCTGTTCAATGAATCGGGTCAAATGCCGCCGGCAAGCACCTGCCAATCTTGGCACCTCGCGGATTTGACTCGGGTCCAGCCGACCGAGTCTCATGGCCGCGTGGCGCAATGGATAACGCGTCTGCCTACGGAGCAGAAGATTGAAGGTTCGAATCCTTCCGTGGTCGAAACTTTTTGCTTTTCGTGGGACTGGCTTAGAGAGGCATAATTGTACTCAAACTCGCTTAATTCTACTCTTTAGATCTCGGAAAATGCTCTTTTGGAGGTGATTATCTTGAGCGTCGCTCGGTAGCTGCGGAAATTCCCGTAACTGGTATAAAACATCATGTCTCCATCAAAATCTGCTGCTGACATCACGAGTACCCGATCAAAACTTCACCGATCAGCCCCAATCTCCTGATTTTTCCCGATCCTTCCCGTGTCACCGTGTTTTGAGGCCGGAAATCGTCAAATCAAATTTTTATAGCCCACCGAATCCACCTGTTTTCCGGGGTGTTTGAGTAGATAAAAGGCATGCGACTATGGTAAACCTGAAAACCGTTTCACTACAAATTACTACCGTCCATCCCGCCCCCGCCCACATCCACTGAGCCGATCGTAAACGTTCAAATCCCTTTACTGGCCGAGGGGGGAGTAGTGCAACGTTGCCATTTACCAATTCCGGTGCCGAGTCGTCTGATTCGAAAAAAACTAGAAAAAAATTCTAAAAAATGTATTCGGCTGTTCTGGTGTTGCTGTTGTTGCGACTGGCCTCAAGCCAAGTTTGTGATACGGAGACGAAGCCGAAGTCATCGGATATCGGTGGGTTCAAAGATGATTATAAAGCTACGAGAACGACAACCTAAGCCTAAGCATTTTTGGACTTTTTAAAATTGCCGGAACTGGCTGCGAAAGGATTTCGTATTCACGTTTCTCAGGGAACCGGGAAGAGCGAGATTACGAGTACGGAGCACTTCGTGCTACACCTCAAAATGGGAGTAATGCGTTGGAGTTTGCGTTCGAGTTCTAGTCGCTGGTAGGGGGATTATCCTACTTACAAGCTCCTTTAAAATGCTCTGAACGTACCGGACCACACAGTATCAAAGCTCCTTTAAACGAGCTCATTGTCTAAATCTACAGTATTTTTTGGAATTCAGTGACGACCAAAATCGTCGAGGACTCCTCCTCAGTCTTCTATAACTTCGACACGAACAGCACCGATGGAGAAGCCGGAGTTGGTGCTGCGATCGGGACGCTGAAGACGAACTCGTCTTGCCCTTCCGGCTGCACCATCGAGTTACGAGGCTGGAAGTCGACGAGTGCTTCGGGTAAAGGACTATTTTGGCCTTGAGAAAACGCATCTAACAACGGTTCAATTTTAACGACTGCTTAAATACAAACTACCAGCTTGTTCGGTAGCTTCGAAAGCTTCGTTTTTGATGTCAAGCCTCTTTTCAGGCTCCATCTTCTACCAGCCCAGCACAAATCTGCCCCCTCTCGGCTACAATGAGACCGACTACACCCTCACGTGCGCCCAGAATGAGGGAAACTGCGGTGCGGATATGCCCATCTACCGTATGTTCAAGCTGACGGCGAATGGAGTCGGTAAGTATATACTTTATGCACCAGATTATGATTTACCAACGGGATCGGGCGAAAATCGGTGACGAAAAGCCTACTTTTAGAGCACGCATACTCTTTCCAAAACACCGCCATCGACGGCTACGCAATTGAACTGACGCCGCTGTGTTGGGGCTGGAACAGGAATGATACGTTAGGTATGATTTAATGAGTTAAAATTGTTCCTTAATATACGTATTTATAACCTGTAACCACAAAATCATAAGCGTAGTGGTGAACGTTCTTTCGAGGAGCTTTAACTAGTGATTTAATGTTTTCTAATCTTCTTTTGTCATAATAGGTAATAATTTGGGAGTTAAAAACCATAATAAATAAGGTGGTAAAGGTGGAAACAGTTCCTTGCCTAAACCACTCTGCCGAAGGTGATAACTTCCTTGGCGGGCAGTAAGCACCTGGTCCTGTCAGTCAACTTAGCACCCCACTGTCATAAGACCCCCCAACGGCCCTCCGCACATGGCCGCGTGGCGCAATGGATAACGCGTCTGCCTACGGAGCAGAAGATTGAAGGTTCGAATCCTTCCGTGGTCGAAACTTTTTGCTTTTTGGGCCTTTAGTGCAGAAAGGTATCCCAATCGAGGTCTCGCAATCAGATAGTCTACGACTGCTTTTTACCTTGGATACCAAGTCATTTTAGCCACAATTGTCAAGCGACAAGCCGACATGGACCAGGCCCCCGATGAGGATAGCTGCGTTGACGACGGCAATCTGGACCTGACGACGTTGTCCGAATACGTCAACACGGCTACGGGTATCATTTTGAGGTCTTCGATGTATATATTTGTTAATCCAGGACCCACGCTAAACCACATCACATCGACAGTAGAACCGGGATCGACGACGGACGGGAACGGCTATACGAAAGTGGTAGCGTCACTTTTACTAACCGTACTGCCCGTAATAGCATACTACTAAAAATTACGCTATCTAATTAAATCAACGTATGTTTAATTAGTACTATCAGATTGCCCCTACCTCCCGGTAGATCGCTAGAACTTTGCTTCCTTGTGTTTTTTATTGTAATTTAGAACCTTGTAAATAAATTCCTATTGTTAAGCTATTCTCGAATTATGTGATAGTAGAAGCAAAGAACTAAAGGTTTATCGTGGAGGAATTAGTGACAGAAAAATGTACATTAAAAGGCAGATTAGATTTTTTAAAGCGCTTTATTTAATGGTTCAAATTCAGAATACACAAACAGAGTTTAAAAACGACTTCCGCTAAAAAACGATACCTCCATTCCTACGCGATTTCCAGCAAGACCTCGGCTACGTCTCGAAAAATCAGGCGGCTTGTGGCGGTTGCCTGACGCCGCTAGTGCAGAAAAAGATGGTGCAAACAGGACTGGCTGGTATCCCTGGCTTCGACAAATGTGCTGAAAATTTTCTAAAAATTATTGCCCTGATTTTGTCGTTACTACGAGCGTCTTTTTGAATTCAGCGCATTTCAAGTTTAGTATATTTTAATTTAGTGTAGTAATCAGGTAAAATAGCGTAAAAGAACGCTTAATATATTATTTAGATCCCCTAAATTTGTAAAATAGTGCGCAACAAGCCTAAAAAGCTTTGATTGCGTCCAAAATAGCGTCGTGTAGTGTAGTCTGTAGTTTATAGCCTAAACGATTTACCTCCCAGAAAGGCGTTTTTCAGATATTATCGACTACAAACTATCGGCGCCAGATGAAGCCGACCGCTTCCTCGAATCATACACGGATACCGGCGAGACCATCTATTGCGCAACGTAACTTATTCAATGCAAAACTACAAACTACAATCCCATTTTTAAGGCAAAAAGGTCAATGCGGAGCCGATACACCCATCTGGAAAGTGTTCGATTTTGTTAATATCGGTAGTTTTTAGTTATATTGTAAAGAATAAGACGTAGACTCGAGAATCATCACCAACGACACGATTTTGCCGCTATTCACCTATAAATACCCCTTCGATCCGCTGTGCTACATCTGGAGCAAGGATTTGACGACGTTAGCGGCAGGTACGGAATGAAACGGAATGTTTCAGATATCGAAAATCGGTTAAAAAACTTGATTTTTCAGGCACGACCACCACGACCGTCGCCAATTCTGCGACTTCCGATGCTACTGACGCTACAGAAGCTGGTGATGTTGAAAATAGTGGTTCTGGAGATTCATCTGGAGATGTTGCCGCTTCCGGAGCGGAGGAAATGACGGATGAGAGTGTAGTTGTTTCAGATGCTGAGGTATGACTACACGTGAAAACTCAGAAAACGACAATATAAAACCTCGAAAACCGCTAACCAATTTCAGAATTCTGGATCCGGTTCCGGCACCGAAGAAGAATCCGGATCCGGCGATGGGGAAACGTCTGGATCCGGTGATGAGGTCGATACATCTGGGTCTGGATCGGCTTCTGGCGACACCGAAGAATCGGTCACCCAAGAAAAAGAAGAGACCAGCTCGCCAGAAATTACAACCTAATATTTTCAGTAGCTATAATACTTGTACAGCATCACCTCCATTAGACATAAATTCTTCTACGCTTCTAAACCTATTTGTTTCAGAAATGCCGATTAAACTACTTTCCAATATTTATCCACAAAAAATACAAGGCGGGGAATGTGGAAAATCAAGTCAAGCGAATGTTTAGGGGGAAACCACCATGTATACCCGTGAAAAAGCACTGTAATAGGCGTTACAGCGTAAAGGGAAAATAGTATTAAAAAGTAAACGGAAAAATATAGCGTTACAAAGTATAGGGAAAAATATAGCCTTGCCGAGTGAATTAAGAAGATCCGGTGGTCATCTTGGCGCGCTCGCGGTCGGCCTCCATCATGCATTCACGGGCCAATATCCTGGAAAGTAACGTATAGAAAAGTACGCAAACACCATTACTATAAAGTACATGTTACAAAACTCAATCTCACGCCAAAATAACAAAAAACAAACCTCGCGTGTACCAGGTAGCGCTTCACCTTCTCGCTGCAGTGTTTGCTGCCGTTGTACATTTGGGGAAGATCCTAAAAATCGCCGATTTTCTAGCCAAACTGAGCGCCACCAACCTTGCCGATTTCGTTGATCAAGAAGACGAGCTGCTGGTACTTTGTGTCGGCTTTCTGAAACGAAAAAATTAATCGTTTTCAACGGTTTTCGGCCAAAAATGACCAAGCAGTTTGGTTTTAGGCTCAAAAATAGCACTTGCGAGCTCGTTTTAGCTCTGAACGTCTAGAAAAGCCCGATTCATCAATGAAAAAACAAACCGTTGGCCCGGGGATGACGTACTGCGGAAAGGCGGCAGCATTTCCGACTTGTTGCGGTGTGGTGGTGGAGGCCTGCTGGAGCGTCGTGACCAGGGCAGGGTCGGCGGTGGCGGGTTGCTGCTGCTGTGGGGTAGGCGTCGAGCTGCTTTCGGCCATTTTAAACCTGGAAATAAATAATTGCTTTGGATTTAAATTCTAAAACAGTTAAAGGACGATTGAAAAAGCATGGACAATCAAGAGAAATCAGGTTTGCTTAATTTTAAGCGTCGTTGGCATAAAAAAACTTTAAAATCAAATGCAGATATCTTTCCTGTCATCTTAAATCTGGACAAAAATACTCTGGGTTGCGTCATCGTTCTGAAACAGTTGAAAGAGGGTTGGAAAAATAGTTACTAAAGAAAAAACAAATTTAGTCGGTTTTACATTGCTAATCGTCGTAAAAGATCTCCAAAACTAGTTGCTTTTTCTCAACCGATGGCTAAAAGTAATGATAAAACGGCGCTAAAGTGGCAATAAGAACGTTGAGGACCAAAGCAAAAACCCTGCTGTCGATTCGATTATTGTGGTTGTGCGAACAAGTGAGGTAGTGTTCGTGCGCCAGAGAATAGTGCGTGAAAGGGAGAGGGCCCAGGGGCGGGGAGGGTGTAGCCTGAGGCTCATCCCAATTGACCGGAGTATCGATCCGAAATCAGCCCGCGCGGTCCATTTTTGGGAAGTCGGCTCTAACAGTTATTGAAAATGAGGGTTTCTACAGGTTTGTTAGGTTAAATTTTGTCTAGGTCATCGTAATGCGCTATGAGACGTAAAATTCATTATTTATTAGTACAGAGAAATCTTATGACAAAAATATCGCATCATATTGGTCCTTTTTGGCTATCGGCCGACTGGGACCTTCTTTCTCATTCGAAAGAGGTTTTGGTTTATGTACAAGACGAGACGTTAAGGTATCCTTAGAAAATCGGAGGCAGAGCACGAGTTTCTTCTCGGAATCGACCATCTTTCGCTGCAGATCGGCGTCGTCTTTCATTAATGTCATTGACTTCGACAGGGCAGAAATAATCCTAAATTATTTATTATTATTTATTAATGGACTATTAACGACTATTTAAGATATTTCAAACTCTACAAAGTGTATAACTCACCGCGGTTTATCAGAAGGGCCAATATCACAACTCTGGGTCAACCAGCCATCGCCATAAAGTTTTACCTTCCGTAATACTTTGTAGAACTCCATCAATGTCGCCAGATTCGTCTAAAAACTTATCTTCGCGTTATTTTACTTACAGCATGCTCTAAAAACCAATTCCCGTCCTCAAAAGCCATTTCTTGCCAACGGCCTGCCTACAAAAGCCGAACTCTACAGTAGCGCTTGCTAATTTATATACGTTCATAGAAAAAAACTATATATTAATCACCTACCTTAACTTTCATATCACATTTCCTGGCCGAACTCTCATGCGACGACATGAAAAATATATTATCTTGGACGAACGCGATAAAAGGGCTCGGTATCGAGACCCGGAAATTTCGAGTAAGTTGTAAGGTACAAATCACGGGGCGTAGGTATTGGCTAAACAAAAATTCGCATAAAACCTTACAATTACACTCACATTAAATGATCCTCAATAATCGCTGCTCGCTGGCAACCCTCCAGCTCCATCTCGAGCTCATAGACATCCCCGTTTCCAATTTTTGCCAGATACTCGATTTCCTCCTCGAATTTGTTGCTGTTATAGCCCTCGTGCGCTTCTTTAAATTCGGAATAAGCGTACTGAAACGTACTATAGCTACCGTATTACAAAATATTCACTTACGCTATCGATATACACTTTTCTGGTACCAGTTTCTTCGAAAAAGTCATCATTGACTTCGGATAGGAAATAGTTTTCATGACGGCCGTTGGCGAACATGAAAATTTGAGCTTGGTTGAGGGTGTTGCTCTGAAAAGGTCATTAAAAACATAGTTATAGAAAATGGAGCTTATACAAGTTTAGACCTTACCTCTATCGTTACCATATCCACGATTTTTGCCAAATTATACGCATTATTCGCCAGGGTTCTCGATATCTTTTTCGATGCCATTTTCAGGTTTCCGACCGATTTGTAGTCCAAATCACGGGCAATTCGAATCATTAGCTCCCAGGGTAAGTACGGGAGGTATTCCATTGTTTTAGAGAGGTTAGAAAATGGAAATTAGCGGAATTTGAAGCTTTTTGTAGCTTTTTAGAACGTCAGACTGACTTTTCCTAATCTGACCATCCCCACGTCGATAGGCATGTCGCGTTTTCGTGGTCAAATTGTGCAACCCGGTGAGTTTTGTGGTTTGTGCCGGTTGGTTCTTTGGTCAAGCGTTTGGAGAAAGGATGGAAATTGGTTTCTTAACGTAACTGGCACAAAAAAAGGAGCGTTTTTACTTCTGGAATAAAATTTTAATGAATTTTGAAGTCTTGATTTACAAATTACGTAGCATTGCTTTATTCAAGACCTCCAAAACGACATAAAAACGGCAAAATTGGCAATGCTTAAGACTTGAAAAACTGCGTGACAGACGATGTGGGACGAGAAGAAGATGAATAACCTAAAATTCCTGTTTTTCAATTCTTGAATTGCTACCGTAACCCCCGACTATGAGCCGGGTTCATTTTCTGGAATGGTGATTGGATGTTTCTTGGAAAAGAGACGACCACCACGCAAGCCACTGCGATTATGACGATACTGATCACCACGTAGATTCCTAAATAATAAAACTAATACGCTTAGGCTTGGGCTTGGGCTTGGGTTTAGGTTTCGACTTAGACTTAAGCTTTGGCGCTGGCTTGATCTTGGCAGATTACCAAGTAGCGGAAATTTTTTCGTCTTTGGTATCGATCCGGAAACCATGTCCAGCAAGACCGTCATCGACACCAAGCTGGTCAACCCGATGCTCAACTAAAACAAAATTCTTCCTTAATTTCTAGATTTTACAATTAACGAAATTTTCTATACCTTTGCCAACTGCTCCTCCCTCTCGTTCGGCCGCCAAAACATCCCAACCATCGACAGGGTGGTCAAAATTAAGCATGGCAGCGCGATTACGTAAATATAAAAATGCGGGACACGTTGAAAAGTGAAGGTAAAAGTGACCTTAATGTATAGGTATTTCGAAAACATTAACTTACAACATCGAATCCATAGTTGTTTCCACCCCACAACTCGATACTGCCGGTTACCGCTTTACACGACCATTCACCGTCACTCTGAATTAAATTGAGGGATAAAATTGCATGATTATAGTATTTTCATAGATAAGTAAATCAAATTGCGCCTAGGAAAAGATAAAATAGTGAAAAATCTGCTATGAAAAACGGTTTGACGGTTGAGGCTTCCGGCACCTTCCCCCCTGCCTGCACGACCCTACATGAACCCCATCCGGCGTGTCCTCTGCCGTGTCCTCGGTAGTATAGTGGTGAGTATCCGCGTCTGTCACATGCGAGACCCGGGTTCAATTCCCGGCCGGGGAGAAACTTTTTGCTTTTTTGTCAAAACGTTAAATTGGTGGCTACCGTGCTTTTGCACTCCACTTGATCGTCTGCGAATTCCATACCGAGTAAGACGGTGGGAAATCCATATTGACCATCGGTGCCGCCCAAATGTGGTTTCGATCGTAGCCGGTGGCTATGGATGCTATTTCACATATCTGGCGGTCGAACGGAAAATTTTCTACCTAAATTCGATTGCTTCGCACACCCACCACCAGTGGATCACAAACATTAATTGGGCACATTAATTCAGCATAATAGCTTCTGACAAGGCCCAGCGTTCCGTTGAACCATAGTTTGGCCGTAAGCAGGTCATTGTTGTACACCTCATCAAGCACTTTCCTGAAATCTCGAAAATTTTATGTCAGAGTTTTACATTTTTAAAGGCAACGCCAGGAAATCCAATAGTAGATACGAAAACCGACGCATTTCCGATGCTATTCTGTGGGATCCAAACTTCTTCCGGATTCACCCAAATGTAGCGTATCCCACCGTAGTCATTCGGGTTCCAGCTCAGCCGAATATCCGTCCAACCCTAAAATTACACATGTTTAATGTAAGTTGGGCTACGGTTTCTTTACGCCCCCCCCCCCGCCGGAAGGTTTTGGCTATAACTTTTTTATTTTACATTATTCTAAACTCAAATTAAAGCTTTGAGTATATTTTCGACGCTTTATCGTATGACATCGAGTAAATCCCGAAAAAACCGCAAAAATATCAAAAACTTTGAGACCCTTCTTCTGTGGGGGGGGGGGTAAAGTGAACTCTTATCGTAAGCTCTACGTAATTGCCTAAAATTACCATAAACATCTCCAAAATGACGCTGAAAATCTGGTGCTCAACGTCGAGGTCGATTAATTTTGTGTAGGCGAGCGAGACAAAGACGGGGAAACGAGGGACGGAGGACTCTAAGAAAAATTTTTCCTAATTTTTGTAGATTTCTGCATAGCGCATCTTTTTAAATGGGCCGGCCATGCCAAAAATAGGTATTTATTTCTATCACCAAAAACTATCAGATTCTCTCAAACCTGTCCAATTTTTTGGCATCAACGAATAGACTGGGGATAGATCTCGCTGATAGCCACGTTCGACAAAGATAAGACGATACAACTGGTTGGAGGCGTCCAGATAATTTGCATATGCTTCTGCAATGTTCGTGCTCAAAAAAATTATAATTTTTGGCACCGCTGGCTCCATATTGCGTCCAGTTAGATTGTGCTTGAGTTACGGTAAACAGGTAGTAAATATAGGAAAATAGCATTAAAATGTAGATATTTCTTGGCGAGAGGCACGTAGGTGAAAAGCCGAAAAGCGTCCGATGAAATTTGAACCCAAAAATTTACCCTACCACTTCAAGTACCAATTGGGAAAATGAAGAAAAGCCTCGTGTATACTGTAGTCTTATTCGAATGTTTGCTTAAAACTTTTTAGCTTGTAGCAGGCGATTTAAATAATTTATTCACGACTTCCAATACGACATAAACACCGCAAAACTGGCAACGTTTAGGATTTGAAAAATGGCGTGGCAGACGACGTGCGACGAGAAGAACGTGAACATTCTAAACACACCGTTTCCCTTAACCTTATTATGGGGCTAAACTACCGTAATCTAATACTCTGCGTCTTGTTCATATCTTTAAAAGGACACTGCCCGTTTCGAGGAAATACGACAACAATCACGCACGCTACGGCGATGATCGCGATGCTGATCACGACGTAGAGGCCTGAAAGTATAAATTTAACATTTTGTCATGAAATTTTATCTTTTTATTTTATTGAATTTAAAGCGAAAATCCGATACCTAACAAAGGAAATTTGATCGTCTTTGGTATCGCTCCGGAAACGATGTCCATCAGCACCGTCATCGACACCAAGCTGGTCAACCCGATGCTAAGCTTAAACAACTTTATGGTCATATTTTTCAAGTTATCTGATTTTAATGCGATTTTGCTTGCCTTTGCCAATTGCTCCTCCTGCTCGTTCGGCCGCCAAAACATGCCAATAATTGAGAGGGTAGTTAATATCAAACACGGTAACACGATCACGTAGATATAGAAATGGGGGACCCGTTGGAAAGTGAAGGTGAAGGTAACCTAAGTTTATAATTACCATGTGATACTATACCTTACCACATCAAACTTAAAATTCGATCCACCCCACACTTCGATACCGCTCTCGATGTTTTTACAGGACCATTCGCCATTACTCTATGATAGTTAGGTTGAATTATACGATATTTTGCGTTATAGTCTCTACTTTGTATCCTAAATTTTGATAATTTTAAGGTTTTTCGGCATTTGAAGGCTGTCCTTTGCTTGCCACAGGCTTTCGCCGGTGCCCGTCTTCAGCCCATCCCCGCTCTCTCAGCACGTGTCCTCGGTAGTATAGTGGTGAGTATCCGCGTCTGTCACATGCGAGACCCGGGTTCAATTCCCGGCCGGGGAGAATCTTTTTGCTTTTGCCAATTTTTGGCCCTGTCGACTAGGAAATTCTTTTGCCACCTACCGTATGGGTGGGATCGAAATCGTTGTTGACCATGGGGGCAGCAAAAACTTGGTTGCGATCGTACGATACGGCCATCGACGCGACCTGGCACTTTTGACGATCGAACGGGAAATGGCCGACCTAGAAACGGTTTGCTATTTTAGGTCGGTTCTAACAAGTCTAAGCCAGAGTGTAAGCAAAGCTTAAACCTAATAAGTCTAAACCCTTGCTTACGTCAATTGGGCAGCTCAACTCGGCGTAATAACTCCTCGCCAGGGCCAGCGTGCCGTTAAACCACAATTTTAGGGATAGGTAATCTTCATTGTAGATTTCGTCAAGCACTTTCCTAAAAAAATGCGAAGAATAAGGAATACTAATTAAAAAATGGAAAATCAGCGGTGAAATGAAAACTCACGCATTTCCGACTATGTTTTCTGGGATCCAGATGTCTTCAGGGTTCACCCAAATGTACTGTATTCCTCCGTAATCGGCCGGGTTCCAAACTAATCGAATGTCGGTCCAGCCCTAAATGAGAAGGTTCTCTCTCCCTCTCTTCCTCTCTCGCTCGCTCGCCCACTCTCTCTCTGTCTGTCTCTCTCTCTCTCTCTCTCTCTCTCTCTCTCTTTCGTTCGGACCACATAAATCTCCACTAGCAAGTTGAAAAGTTGCCGCTCTGCATCGAGATCTATTAACTGCGTATAGGCCAATACCACGAAAACCGGAAACCGAGGTACCGTAGACTCTGAAACCACTGTCGCACCCCCTTTAAAGCGCATAAGAACCTGTCCAATTCACCGGCATCATTGAATAGACCGGCGATAGTTCCGGCCTGTATCCACGCCCCGCAAAAACATCTCGATACAACTGATTTGAAGCATCCAGATAGGTTGAGTACTCCGCTAAAAATGTGGATTTTTGGTATAATCTACCCAGAATTACGCGACGCTCCAAATTCCGACCAGTTCTGCCGCGCCACGGCTACCGTAACCCAGATAGACGCATAGAAAAATAGCATAAATTTCGATAAAAAAGCACGCGTCAGGAATCGAGGGAGAAAATTGGGCTGAAGTGGAAATTCGAGCCAGAGAATTTGGCGGCGGGGGGGGCAGTTTGGGTTTGGGACCCGATGGTGGGTAAATAGAGTAGAAAAATTGCAATTTTCTGGGTTACTGTAGTTTTGTTCAGTCTAAAAACGCTGGAATTTTTTTAAGGGGCCAGGAACCGGCTCTTGGAATCGACTAAATGGCGACAATTACGAGTAACCTCTGTCTATTTTTCTAGATCCATTGGATGGAAGGTGAAATCTTCAAAAAAAAATATTTATCGCCAGATTAAGCCCGCCAAAATGACATCAAAATCGCAAAATTGGCAAAATTCAATATTTGGAAGAAGATGTGGGCGACGATGTGACACGAGAAAATGTGAATAAACCTGAAAAATTCGGTGTTTGAAGCGTTAAAATTGAGAAATTTACTAAATCGTGATGCGCGCTTACTTCAAGCAAAAATTCTCCGTGTCCTTGTTTTTGAGGCGACTTCGCTCTTCTGGATACGCAAGAACAAGTACGCATGCGATGCCGATTATCGCGATACAGACAACCACGTAGATCCCTAAATTTTGTGATACTTAAATTCCTTGGTGTCTGGAAGGGAAAAAATCGATTCCTTGAATCCACTAGATCAAGGCAGCTCCACGACACGCCAAGACACGTATGCGATCTCTCTCGCTCTTTCTAGCTCTCTCTCTCTCTCTCTCTCTCTCTCTGTCTCTGCCTCTCTCACGTCCCTCTCTCCTCTTTCCCTCTCCCTCTCTCGCTCTCTCGCTCTCTTTGTTTGAGCATGGTGTGTAACTGTCGAGATCTAGTCGACAGAGTGGGTCGATTCTAGCGCTTTTCTAGTCTTTTAAAATCGAGCCTCACCTAGAAGCGGAAAATCCTGAGTCCTCGGAATCGCGTCGGCCACCATCTGCAGCAACACCGTCATGGAGACGAGGCTTGTCAACCCGATTCCAAGCTTAAGGAAATGTTTTATTCAGTTTACCAGCGGGGGAGGAGCCGCTACGCGACTCTCCCCCGCTGGACCCCGTCTATGCCCTATTAATCGAGCGCCCTTCCACATAACGATATCCTGAAGAAAGAAAACACATCTCCCCATGCAAACCTCGTTGTATTGACATGCGTCGCAAGCTTAAATTGCCAGTGCCGTTATTAGACCTGCGGCGCAGGTTTGATCGGCCCGGTCTTCATCCAGCGGTGCCAGCTTGAGCGGTTTGCTTCGAGATAAAGCCTGCGGCGCTAGCTTGAGCGGCCAGCTCCGTTCTAAAGCCTGCGGCGCTAGCTTCAGCGGCTAGCTTCGTTCTAAAGCCTGCGGCGCTAGCTTCAGCGGCTAGCTTCGTTCTAAAGCCTGCGGCGTTAGCTTGTGCGGCTAGCTTCGTTCTAAAGCCTGCGGCGCTAGCTTGAGCGGCTAGCTTCGTTCTAAAGCCTGCGGCGCTAGCTTGAGCGGCTAGCTTCGTTCTATAGCCTGCGGCGCTAGCTTGAGCGGCCAGCTCCGTTCTAAAGCCTGCGGCGCTAGCTTGTGCGGCTAGCTCCGTTCTAAAGCCTGCGGCGCTAGCTTGAGCGGCCAGCTCCGTTCTAAAGCCTGCGGCGCTAGCTTGTACGGCTAGCTCCGTTCTAAAGCCTGCGGCGCTAGCTTGAGCGGCTAGCTTCGTTCTAAAGCCTGCGGCGCTAGCTTGAGCGCCTAGCTTCGTTCTAAAGCCTGCGGCGCTAGCTTGAGCGGCCAGCTCCGTTCTAAAGCCTGCGGCGCTAGCTTGTACGGCTAGCTCCGTTCTAAAGCCTGCGGCGCTAGCTTGAGCGGCTAGCTTCGTTCTAAAGCCTGCGGCGCTAGCTTGAGCGGCTAGCTTCGTTCTATAGCCTGCGGCGCTAGCTTGAGCGGCCAGCTCCGTTCTAAAGCCTGCGGCGCTAGCTTGTACGGCTAGCTCCGTTCTAAAGCCTGCGGCGCTAGCTTGAGCGGCTAGCTTCGTTCTATAGGCTGCGGCTTGCGTGACTAACTTGATAATAACGTCCCTACACGGAAATCCACTCCGAAACGCACTTTCCGAGCAAAAAGCAAAACAATTACGATATCCGAGGATCGAACTCCGATGGTTAGATTAGCACGGCGAAACGCTAACCACTACACCATGCAATGCTTGGCAGCACACGTCAAACACCCTCAAGGGTACTGCCCGGGGCAGGGGAAGGAAAGGAATCGAGAGGCAGATCCAAAGAGACGACCAAACTCGCGAGTGCAACTGGCAAGAATGAGGAAATTTGTATTTTTTTCAAATTATGCAAATTAGCCCTCCCGGACCCCCAAAAATCAATAAAACCGGCTTTAACTTTGTAAACTTGTATTTTATCGGGATTCTGAAAACGCCATCGGAAAGAGGAGGGTCGATTCCCCCGGGTGACGGAGAATTAGGGCATTTTGTACACGGAAAGGCCCTCAAATCGGGCCTCGAAAGTGACATCCACACACACACACACACACACACAAAGATACGCGTCCAAATTATATAAGGTAGGATACCTGTTTTTACGTTTGATGCCATGCAATTAATAGCATCATTTCATTTCCGATACCTTTGCGATCTGTTCCTCCTTCTGGTTCGGACGCCAAAACATCCCAATTATCGATAGGGTTGTCAATATCAAGCAAGGTAGAGCAATTACGTAGATATAGAAGTGTGGTACCCGTTGGAGTATATAATTGTAGATTATCTAAATATAATTATTGAACATTTTTAAAGCTTACCACATCCATCTTCATATTTGCCCCGCCCCAAACCTCGATATCCGGGATGATATTTTCGCACTGCCACTCGCCGTTGCTCTAAAAACGTTACAGTTTTGCTTGGATCTTTATGCAATTTTGTACGTTTTGCAAAATTATATTGTTTTGGTTTTCCAAAAATAAGATGAAATACAGTATTTTCTAAAATTACCGAAGCGTTCGGGCTAAAATCAGTGTTGTAAAACGGCAGTCCTTGGATGTGTTTTCGATCGTAGGAAGTTGTAAAAATTGGTATTTGGCATTTTTGACGGTCGAACGGGAAACGGGCGACCTGAAAATTTGAAAAACGGGCTTCTGAAAACCACAAAAACAACAGTTATACTGTAATCGATTACGGCATGAAAATGTTGGGCGGAGACTTTGAAGAGAGAGCAAGAAATCGAGAGAGAGAGAGAGAGAGAGAGAGAGAGAGAGAGCCATATTTCACCTCATACCTGTATTTGACAAGCAATTTCGGCATAATAACTCCTTATCAACGTCACCGAGCCGTTCGCCCAAATCCGCGCGGTTTCCACGTTTTTGTTGTAGACCTCATAGAGTAGCTTACTGGAAGTGGCGATAAAAATTAAAAATTGTAACCTACGCGTTTCCTATATTATTCTCCGGTAACCATAACGTTCTCGGATTCACCCAGATCATCCCGATACCACCGTAATTTTTTGCATTCCAAGCTAATCGAATATCCGACCATTGCTAAAATTGAATATTTTGAAATCCAGTATTTAATGGATTGAGGATTTACCGTATAAATCTCCAGCGCAACACCAAAAATTTGTCTTCCAGCGTCCTAAAATCCTCATAAAAATCAACTAATTTTTAAACCTTACCAACTCGATAATTTTCGAATAGGCCAACCCGAGAATGACCATAAATCTAGGCTGTTTGCTTTCTAAAAGCCCTTGAAATTTAAACGTTAACAAAGCTACCGTACCCGTCCAATTATCCGGCATCATCGAATAGACAGGGGAAAGAGTTGGGCTGTAGTTTCTAGTGATAAAAAGCTCATTATAGAGAGCGTTGGAGGTGTTGAGGTACTGTAGGTATTCTTCTAGATTTTGAGATTTTTTATTTTTGTTGCAGGTGCATTTAAATACATTTATATACACTATTATAAAAATCGTAGTTTTTAACCCTAAAACCGATTACGCAATTGATTTTCGCTTTCAATCCCTTTTAAATCATCAAAACTAAAAAATTTTGCGCATTTGCCTCTAAAAACGTTGCCTTCGCGGCACCTTTAAAATCGCGTTAAACCCGAAAACTGACATTTGGACGTGAAAACCAAATCTACTTGAGTTTCTTGCCTTTCATGCCCCTTAAAATTTATGAAAGATTGAACCGGTGTAGTTTTCGCATGGGAAAAACAATTACGCCACCAAAAATTTGCCTTCCAAGTACCTTTAAAATTCCCTGGATTTTTGCCACCCACCTGACACCCCATTTTTTGTCCAATCCAATTGCCCACAGCTTAAACCCGCGAAAATCGATAATATCAAACAGCCGGACCCACGCATCCAATTATCGAGTGGAACTAAATTTTAGCGGTCGTCCTCAATTGGCCAATATTTCATCGTGGTGCCCCCTACTCGGTAACTCGAGACCCGGGCACACGCACAATTTTTGAAGTACTTGACGAAGTGGCCCACGCGCGTTCAGCGGGCTGGCCGGAAAACCGAAAATTTGATCGCCAAATATGGGAAGTGGAGTCCAGGTGGGAGCATGGAAACGAGGAGCAAAAAGCAAACTAGAAATTGGGGCGATCTTTAGAGGGGCTGGCAACGCAAAGCAGACATGGCGTTTTTATTGCGTAATCGGTTATCCGTACGACATTTCTATACGCAACGCACCTGCTATTCCCCCCCCCCCAGATTCGGGTCTGACTCGGGTTGGCCAGCCCACGTGGGTACGTGCCGCAGTTGCCAGAATATTTCTAGGCCAACTTTATCCTAGAGTGGCAATAATTCTCGCTTGCCAACACCTTTAAAGTGGGCGAAAGCATCCACATGCTAGCCCACAACGCGCGACGCGGCGTGGTTTCATGGCGTAATCGAGTGTGCTCCATTCGTGGTGCTAGGCTTTCATGAGCGTTGCGTGTAGCCGGGCTCACAAACCCCAAAGCTATTTTGAGACAAATACTGCAGTCATTTTGGTAAGACTACAAATATCCAAACAGGGAGCCGTGATACGGTGGGTGGGGGGTCGGCTGGGGGGTGGGGGTAAACTGCCGTCAAGCCGGACCCTTCAATGGACCTTGAACGTATATTTGAAACCGTTGAATTTGTATTTTCTGAAGCATCCGTTATGTCGTATTAAACCGTGTCGTGCAACATTTTCAACAAGTCCACCCAACATCTTTATTCCGAGGGGGGACGCTACAGGGGCCGGGGTGTACGGCCGAAAACACCAAAAAAACCCGTGGGTCGAGAGAGCAGGGGGGCATACAAAACTAGGCGAGCAAGCACGCGTGGTGCCTACAAAAAAGGGAATAGCGGGGGGAGGGGAATAGCAGAGCGACGGATGTGGGGAGGCGTCCCGGGCGTTCCTTGATAGGTGGCGGCGGGGACGAGGCGGTCGGCACGTCGACTCCTCAGATGCTTGTTGAAGGCGTCGTCGCCCCGTGGCACCATGTCGATCGTCTAGTTGCCCTCCGGCAGCTCGTCGGTGATACGGGAGACGAGCCCGTCGGCCACGAAGAACGCGTCTAAAAGGGTTGAACGTCTAGGTATCGTCGCCCAATCTACTCTTACCATCCAGCGTCCGCACCTTGCCCTCGCGCGCGATCTTGGCCAACTCCTTGGCCACCTGCCTCTTCTTCTCAAAGGCCAGGTAGCCTAGAGGGGATTGCGGTTTCCGAGGGGAGTCAGAATGTGGGTACCAGGTTTCTCGCCTTGGAGCATGTACATCTCGAGGTCGACGATCGACTCCTTCAGCACCTTTCTGACCTCCTCGAGACTGCGTCTCTTCGCCTCGGCGAGTGACTTGATAGCCAGGCTGACGACGTTGGTGGCCACCTTCTCAAAGAAGTCCTGGCGGTCTGGAACGTGACGGTATACAGAGGGCCAGTAAATGAGAGTATACTCGGAAATTACCGTTCTCTCCGAGGTTCATCCACTGGCGGTTGCCCTTGTTGAGCTTGAGCAGTACGTTGGCCACGGCGGCGGAGACGGGACGAACCTCGGTATCTGAGAATCGCCAGTAGCTGACGAACTGGTTGGAACGGCTACCTGGTTTGCGGTTCATTCGGAACCAGCGAAGGAGCGCCCAGTGCAGACGGGACAGCGTCTGCTCGGGCTCAATGATACGGCGTTTCGGAGGGTAGATGTTCTCGGGGCACGGCGGCGGCTGGAGGACGGATTGGTGGCCGGGGGCCCCGAAAGTCTTCTGCGAGGGGCAGCCGCTGAAAAGTGGAGCGTAGTTGCCGTTAGCGAGAGAAGTAAGCCGAAGCCTAAGCCTACCTAAACCTAAGCCTAAGCCTAACACGAAACCTAATCCGAAGCCTGCCTAAGCTTAAGCGGATGCCGAAGGTAAGCCTAAGCCTAAGCCTAAGCTTACGATCGGCCCATCCCTAAGCCCTACAAAAAAAGTCTATAATAAGTTAGGCCTACGCGTAAGCCTATCGCAAGGTATTCTTAAGCCTAGGTAGAAAGAAGGCTACGGTTTACGGTATATGTCGGCTACGCGGGGGGGGGGAATTTTACGCGGGGGGGACGGACTGTTGGGACCGAGCTAACTATTTTTTTGCGTTTCTTTTTGCTACAAACCAAACCCTTAGTATATTTTTCGACGCTCTGTCGAATAGCACTAAAGAAATTTTGTAAAAATGTCGAAAATGTCGAAAATTTGATTTCCTTCTATGTCCTCCATGGAAACAACGTTTAATACTTGTTTTTGTTATAACTATTTTGTATTACATTATTTTGAGCTAAAATTAAAACTCTTAGTATATTTTTGGATGCTCTATCGAATGGCATCTTTAAAATGTCGAAAAAATAGCGCGAATGTCAAAAAACAGCCGCTCAAACCGATTTTCAAAGTTTATTTTTGTGTTTGCCATAACTTTTTTATATTACACTAATTTGAGCTAAAACAAAAACTCTTAGTATATTTTTCGGTGCTCTATCGAATGCCGTTGAAAAAATTCCGTGAAAATAACGAGAACAGCCAAAAAGGCCTGCCTGTCCCGTCCCCCCCCGCGTAAAATTTCCCCCGCGTAGCCGACATATTCCACGGTTTACTTTACCCCCCAGCCGGAAGTTTTTGGCTATAACTTTTTTATTTTACATTATTGTAGGCTCAAATTAAAACTCTTAGTATATTTTTCGACGCTCTATCGAATGGCGTTGCGAAAATCCCGACAAAATCAGCGAAAATGCCGACTACTTTGAGACCCTTCGGCTGGGGGGTAAAGTAAAGTCTTACCAGAATGAAATTAAGCCAAAGTTAAGCCCAACTCCATAGCCAAGGCTAATCCCAATAACTCTACTCACGCCGGGTTGTCGCATTCGCACGTCACCGCCGGGTACAGCGTCGGCTTCCATCCGGTGGAGCTACCCTTCGGCCCCCTGAAGTGGGTAGTGAAAAAAGACGACTGGAACGGCTACAAGACGCGGGCGGCGGCGATTTCGATGAGACGTTCGACCCAACCGTGACGGCGTTTCCTGAACAAAGCTACATTTTGCGGGCTAGCGTAAGGCCTACGGGTCCTTGATCTGGAGCACGTCACGCAGTACGGGCGGGAGCTCGGTGACGATGTTGCGCTCGCGAAGCCAGTCCTTCAAGAGATCGAACATTCCATTGCGGTCCAGGATGCTGGGGTCGCTGAAAGGGGGGAGGTATGCTTATGGTTAGGCTGAGGAGTAGGCTGAGGCTTAGGCAGTCCCACCGGTTGATGAGCTTGGCGAGGAGCTGCTTGTCCTCGTCGGAGGACACCTGGGCGAGCTGCTCGCCCCACTGGATCATCTGCTGGTTGACGATCGGGCTGTGCACGGCGCCCTCTCCGGCAGATTCTGGGTTCAGGGGAACGGCCTTCTGGTTGCGATCAACAGCCGACTCGGACACGTCGTCAATCGGAAGCGCCGTCATCTCGCGACAAGGGAGGTGACAGCTCCGTCGGCTCGTCATGGACAGCCAGGCTCGAACTGAATTACATAAATTTGCATCCCAATTCGGAGTACGGTACCCGCTAAGCAACAGCAGCGGCAGCAGCGAGATGAGTCGCAGCTTCAGACCCATCGGAGTCGATCGGAAGGGATCTGACGAGAAGAGTTTGCAGGCCGACCCATTTATTTTATACGTGCCCTGCAATGGAAATTGTGGATAATTTCCGGCTGCACGGTGCCAAGTTATTCAAATTTGTCGAATTGTAATTTGCATAGCTAAATAAGAAAATGTCCTTAAAGACAAACCGTCGAGTAATGACCCTTTTTCCTTGCTTAATGTTTTTATTTTTCAAATTGACGCCTTCTTTTGTCGATTCGATCTGAGAGAGTGTCGAAACATATACCAAGAGCTTTTCTTTATCGCTCCGAAAGCGATATTAAAAACAATTTTTTATTAAAAAGAGCCCCGTGGGTGCAGACGTTTTTTTCATTACCAATCGGGGGCAAAAATACCCGAAATTTTTCTACGATTGCCGGTAATACCGCTTTCTCAATACTTCGGACACTGATAAGTCCCCCAGGTGCCAAAAAGCAAAAAATTTTCCCCCGGCCGGGAATTGAACCCGGGTCTCGCATGTGACAGACGCGGATACTCACCACTATACTACCGAGGACACGGGCGGCAAGGGAGAGGACAGCTCATAAGGGGCCGGCAGGCCTGCGTGTAGCGACCCGTGATACAGTTTTCAGCAGATTTATTCGATGTTCATGGCGATATGAGGGATTCCCCGTCAAATTTTTGTATGAGATGTATTGCAGAGCGGCGTAATCTGTTGTACAACGGACTGAATCGGAGATCGTGGGTATGGAAATGAGGTGGCATTGAGATCAGGTAGAGACAATGATTCAGAGCACAAAAAAGAATAGGCAACACGTGGTGAATTGAAAGAGCGTTGTTGAGATGTTTTTAGTTTAAAAATCGGGAAAATACCGCAGAAAAACAAATAAATAATTTTTAAAGAGTCTAAAAGGTTTTAGAACGTTCTAGAAGGTAGAAAGAGGCAAGTATCAGATAAATACAAAAATCAAGTATGAATTCATTAAAAATGCGTATTATACTACCAGTGGTCCGGATGCCAGGGCACGTCGTTAAATGACATTTCCCCGAAAACAGGACTAACATTGGTGGTGGCGGAATAGCTGGGCCAAATTTCGGAAAATAGGGAAGCTCGAACTCCGCAGAAGCTGTCAGGTGGAAGGCGTCGGAAATGGGGCTCGGCGTGCTGCGCGATTTGCTAAAAACAGTAATTTCTACCGCTCTCTGTCTCTCTCGCTCTCACTAGCTCTCTCGCTCTCCCGCTCTCTCTCCCACTCCCACTTTCACTCTCTCTCACTGCCTTCTCTCTCTCTCTCTCTCTCTCTCTCTCTCTCTCTCTCCCACCTGCACCAAATGCACAATCTCCATAATCTTCCCAGTAATCTCTATAGCTCGCTTTTCTTCGTGTATTCGCTCTCGTAGTGCCTAGGAATCCAATTTTTTTGGTATTTTTTTATGACCAACCTTCGCCAAAAGTGCATCATACTTCCTTCGCGCATCTCTTGCTACAGCAGATTCGGGCTCGGGCAGGTCAAATCCTAAAGGAAATACTAGTTTTTAGCAGAAATACCATTTTACCTGCACTGAACATCATCACATTCTTGAGTACGACATATTCCGCGTCGGACATTTGTATTTCCTTCAATAACGGCACTATTTTACGATCCGTCATTCGAAAAACACGTTTGAAGAAGCGGATACAGAGCTGGTTGAAGCCGATGCAGCTTTGGCTAAAAATTGGACGGATGGGGTATGATTTCAGCCATTTCTGAAGTGTCACTGTCCCTTTAAACGAAACAGAAGAAAAAGACCCACTCAATATGCTCATCTCTCAAGAATCGTCCTCCAAATCCGATAAATAATCCTGGGGTCTGGGATCTGTAGGTGTAGTAGAGTATTTGGAAGACGAACATCAGGGGGAAGGCTCGACAGAAGAGGTGAATCTGAACAAATGTATAGGATTTTGGTTGACGGGCCGGTTGATGGACCTCTAAAGCCTGTAAAAACGCACCCTCTCCTTGACAGACATTGTCGTCACTTCCGGACTAGCTCGCAGCCAATCAGCAAAATGAACAAGACTCCGGCCGATGCATCGAGGGATGAAGAACTGAGGAAAGTGCCGGTATTCATAGCAGAAGGAGAAGCCGATCTACAGCATTTTTTTAGAACGACCGGTACAATTTGCATACCGGAACCCGTTGACAAAGCCGCGTTGGGCTGGCGATGAGGTCCTCGATCTTGAGCTCGAGGTTGAACTCGAAGTTTAGGTCGAAGGAGGCGTCGTCATTTGAGCAGTTTCTAGAAAAAACGGAAAGTTGCAAGAGAGAGATAGGGAGAGAGAGAGTGAGAGAGAAATAGTGCGACAGGAAGAGATAGTGAGAGCGAAAAAGAGAGGGAGAACGAGAGCGAGATAGAGAGAAATAGATAAATAGAGAAATAGGGAGAGAGAGAGAGAGAGAGAGAGAGAGAGACAGAGAGAGAGAGCGAGACAGAGAGAGAGCGAAGGAGAGAGATAGGCAGAGCGAGTGAGAGAGAATGAGAGGGCGAGATAGATAGAGAGAGAGCGGGTGAGAGAGAGAAAGAGAGAGAGAGAGAGAGAGCGCGTGAGAGAGCGCGTGAGAGAGCGAGAGTGAAATATGGAAATACAGCGACAGAAACTCTACTCACTTCTCCAACTGCAACAAAAACGCGACATCATCCTGCTCGCTCGACTGCCGATTCATCGGGCTTGGATACATGACGGCCGGAAGTCGTAAGTATTCCTGGAATCCACATTAACACCACGATAAAAATGGATCGATACAGTGCTGAGGCTGCTCGTGGACGACTCGTCGTATTGGGGGTCAGGCCGCTGATCAGTATTTTGGCGTTTTTTTTTCGGAATTACCTGCTCTCTGGAGGTGGAGGGTTGATCGCGGCTTTCCTTTCTACGGCGATCAGGTCGTTGTTGCTGGAGTTCACGTCGCTTCGAGTCTACCCGACGACAAACGTCTAAAAATTGGAAAATACTGGGAATTGATGGAATTTTAGCTTAAAGATTTATGAAGTGGAAAAAGTTAAATCGTCGAAATTCAATTAAAAAATTGTGAAACATTTTTCTTCAGGAGATATTATTGCTTTTTAAGCGTTTTTTAGTTTTTTATATCAAACATTTAAAGTTAACAAGCGCGAAAGGAATTTTTAAGAATTCTAAAAACTTACTTTCCGGAATTAGCCCAACCTCCAAACATTTGTCGTATCGACAAAGCCGGCAATTTGTCGCTTCTGAAAATCATGGATTTAGAAAAGTTGCGTTTTATAATTATTTAAATTTCCGTAAAAATTTTAAGCTATTTTAACTCACTGAAATCACAGGGCGGATTGTCGTGGCATCGCTTTGGCCGCCGGCTGACGGCCGCACGTAGAAAAAACGACTTGCACGCCCTAAGCATAGAGTTTTAGAATGGCCACGCCATGGTACGCTGCAGTACGTTAGATTACGATAAAGTACGCTACGTTAACTTACGGGCAACAAATCGAGCCGTAGTTAAACGAGGCCGGCTCGTTGCCGCACACCAGACACTTTTGAGGTCCGCGTCTGCCAAGATCAAGGTATGATTCCTGGGAGGTGGACGGCTGGTCCTGAATTGAAAACAGACTGTTATTAATTTTTGTCACATTTTGACCACCGATTGTGAGCAGTTTTCCCCGTTTTTTCTTTTCAATTCGATTCTATAACTTCGCCAATTTACGTAAAAAAGCGAACCGCCACGTAGAATTCAGCAAAATTCGGGCAACTTTTAGCAATGAATTCAGATTTTAAATCAACGTTGTTGCAGCGCATCGGCTTTTTGGAGGCCGGGTGAGGTAATTTTCGAGGTTGGAATTTTTTTTAGTTCAAAATTTGACTTCCCGCCCACGTGTCAAATCGTATGGGAGAAGCGCCACTTGGCCAAGCGCCAACAGTTTTTGAGAGTGGGTTCTGTGCTAGGTTGTGCGTGATTTTTTGGACTTTGCGGTGGTCGGTAAACAAGTAATTAGTCTCCGTCTTTCAACAGGTGAGCGGGCCGGAATAAAGTTGATTTTTGGGCGCTAAGGACCGGTTTGGGATGCTCAAGAAGTTGCCACACGCTTCATAATTTCTCGTCTCGGGGCTTCTCTCCGCTCTCCTCTCGCTCTCCTTAAAATAGATTCCATCTCCTCTCAAGAAATTCTGATTTTGATCTGTGGTGCGGACCCATTGGGAAACCCCCGAACTGGTTGATGACACGCGCAATATTTGCATAAACCCTCTACGAGATGCGTGTGCAATTCTGTGCCCGACCGTCTCCGGGGGTAGCCCCCATCCCCAAGATGACCGCCCAAGGAATGTAAACAACTAAAGCACGTGCCATTGCAGCAGATCATGAACTCAGGAAAAGACACCAATGCACCAAGGTCCATATAAACACTAATGAAGCGACGCGTGACTTGCGGATACCTTTTGGGGGATGATGTATGGATGCTTTGTCACGTGGCCGGGGTTACTGTAAGGACCAAACGGCTAAAGGGAGCGACACACTAGGTGATGCGGTAGTGCATGCTACCATTCGAAAAAGGGTATAAGATACTTCATATTAATTCGTTATTACATGCATCGTATCAGAGTTGCTTTGCGCTGCGTTGCCACGCATCTAACTTAAAAATACCCGGGGCAATTTGATTTAAGGGAAGCGCCATTTCCGCTTTTCAAATAACTTAAACGGTACTGGAACTTGGATATTTTTCTGTGGCACACTATTTATCGAAAATCTTGATCGCCAGCACTACCCCAGACTCCAAACTACGTGAACACCGGGCCTGGTGATACCTTATTTGGGGAATCGCATGTCTAAAAAAATTGAGCGCAAATTTTGGCGAAACTGGCGGCATTTTAGTTAGCGCAATTTGATAAAAAAGACGGCTACACTTTACTTGACCCCGCCCAGCCGGAATGTTTTGGCTATAACTTTTTTATTTTATATTATTGCAGGCTCAAACTAAAGCTCTTAGGATATTTTTCGACGCTCTATCGAATGGGTATCAAAAAGTATCGAATCCCGACAAAATAAGCTAAAGTACCCAAAACTTTGAGACACTTCAGCAATGGGGGTAAAGTAAAGTCTTACAAAAAGACTTGATTAAGGCGAAGACTTAAAAGCCAACACTGGAATCATAAACAAATTAAACCTCGAGTGTTTACTACACACTGCCAAGACTGAAAATTGAAATTAGAGGTTAGTTTAAAAATTTAAAATTAGGTACCAGCGCTATTTTTTACCAAATAATCAAAATGATTGACATAGGATCAAAATAAAAACAATGTTTTCAGCTTTTTCTAGGGAGCACCAGATTGCAAAGTTGTCATAGCCAGCGTATGCTCCGGAAAAGCTCGAAGGGACAAAAAAATTTCAGAAAAATTCACCTTTCGCTTGCTTTGTTTTTTCGGCGTAAAAACAAAAATGCTAGAACTTTTTGAAAGGTAGGAAATACAAGAAAAAAACTTTACATAAAATGTGACCCACCTGCATACACCTGAAGGGGACCAGCGCGATGAGGGTGGAGGACGAGTTAGAAGTAGGTGGATGACCAAAAAGCAAAATGATTGTTGATGTTTGGGTGGTGTTCTAGGGAGAGAGAGCGAGAGAGAGAGAGAGAGAGAGAGAGAGAGAGAGAGTGAGTGAGGGGAGCAAGAGAATGAGAGAGAGCAAGCCAGATAGAGAAAAATTGGTGTATATTATGGCTTGGCTCAAGGGTGGGAAAGAAGATAGGTGGGGGGTTATGTGTATGAGCAGATCTGCCCTCATGGCAATGAGGGGTGTATGGGGCTGGGTGCTGGTGAGCAAACTAGACATCGAAATGGGAGCACCATGGTCCGGCTGGACCCCCTCTCGACCATCCCAATTTGTTTGCATTTGGTGTGGCGGGATGTCTGATTGTCGGCACCTCGCTGGTTCAGGTGCTCTCTAGCCAAACACAGTTTCATCCTAGACTCAAAAATGGTGGCATGAGCAGAACTTGGTATGAGGCACAT